GTACTTGTGCAGTCCATAGTTTCTCGTGCTTGATTTCAGAACAAGTCTGCATTCAGCTTACTGATGGCAAGGGCACGTTCTTCATTGGACGGTTTTCACAAAATTCCAATAGGTTAGGATTATATGCGCTAGAAGTTAAAAGGATAGGATGATTCGCACGAAAGGTTTAAAAGATAAGGATGATTTGTGCACAAAGGTTTCAACAAATGAACTGATTTTCTTCTTGAACAAACATTATTAATGAGAATCTCAATTTTATTTCAACATACATTGATAACTTCGATATAGATTACATTACTATACAACACTTGACAGTACACTGAAAGAAAATCGCACGCTGCCAAAACAGTCTTGAAAGTTCAGTTCTACCATTAAAAATCCATATTACAACAAACCCGCAAAATAAATCAAAAACCCAACTTCTAAAAGCATTAGCAGCAGGTCGCACCAGGGTAAGAATCCACAACCTCAATTTTGTTGTATAAAAGGAAAAATTTCGAGAGCAAATCATAATGCACAAGAAACGGACATTGGAGTTAGATAACCAGACGTATTTGGCATGAAAACCGTCTAATTGAGTTGGTTTCTATCCACGGGATCTTCATCTCAATTTCCATTACACATCGACATAATCGATGATCCATCCACACAAATTCAGATCTTCAACTTTGTGTATTGTTCTACATCCGCACATATGATGTTATCATTTCATAATTAAAAGGATTTGACAGGAAAGATCATAATTTAGTGTTCTGATCATAATGCCCTTGAACATTTTAATCAAGTGGGCTGCATGTGATCAGTTAACAGGAAAAACTGGCAGAATTGGACAAAACCTATGAGTATCGTCTGATCAATCTAAGGGCACAAATACCAAAATTCAAACGATATGGAAAATTCACGCAAAATAGTCAAATGAAAGAGACGTTTGGCATCAATTATCCAAAAGTATTATGTCAATCTAATGTAACAATCCAAAGATGAATATTGGAAAAGTTTCACTCTATAAGCACATGCTTCTCTAAATATACAATATTTGAATTATAAAATCTAAAACTCAATTAAGAGGAGGACATAGTAATCGACGGAATTATTTATAGAGTAGAAAATAAGCGTAAAATTCTGCCTACATATCGGTTTTCATCTCTCACATAACGGTGCTTGTAAATTCACAGAGTTCGAGCTGTCAACAGTTTTCCTGCTTCCCAAAGAGAGGTATAAGCTGTTTCTCCAACTCGACTAAACTGGAACAAATAAAATCGGAGATTAAGCAAATCATTGTACAGAGGCAACAAAAGTGGATTCAATAACTTACATCTCGAATTTTTGCAAAGCTTCAGCTTGTTTCGCTTTGTACAAGTCACTGTCTTTAGGTATGCTGCTCAAATTATTACCTGTGAAATTGTGAGTGATAGTTTGTGTTAGACAAGAAACTCAACAGACCATTAACCTGAACCAACATCAACCAAAAAGATGAAAAATAAAAACATTGGCATTTGGCAATGCCACAACCAAAGAAAGACAAATAGAAGAAAAAAAAACAAACAAATAAAGAAATGAGAAACTCAAAGCAACATGACAGCATTTCAAAAGTCGAAATGGTTTTTTACTCTTTCTAATATTCAACTTTTCTCAATCAATGTCCTTTTTACAGGGTAAACAAACTAAATCCAAGTACTTCACAGAAATCATTAAACCACACCCCCCCACCCCCAAAAAAAAAAGCACATAAAAAAAAATTAAGAAACAACTGTAGGAGGAGAGAAAAAATATCTCCACATTTTGCTGAGGTTTTTAAAATTCTATATAACACAAAGAACCATGTCTATCCTTGGTTACTTAAAGACATTTTTAATCCCATATATAAAGAGACATGTGCCGCATAATAGATGCAAATATTTATTTAGACAACTTTAACAAGAGAAAAAATTAATTTATATTGTTGAATTTCAGCATAAAGTAAATATATAAACAAAGCGGCCCAAAATGTTACGACTATACTGATAAGTAGAAGCTTCCTAAATCCTTATGAACCAATCGTGCTATTTCCCCAGAATTGATACAGAATGGGGTAAAATTGAGCCTTTACGAATTCTCCAACATACAATCCGGCTAGACTCTTAGCTTTGCCAACATATTAAGGCTCACAATTTTTATGCCTTGTCACAATATTTTTCCATAATCGATATGAAAGGTTTTTACAAAATATGTCCTATTTTGTATGAGAAGCACAAGATATGCTATTTGTCATCGTGGATTTAAGATCAAGAATTTCAAAATATATTTAAAAAAGAAAAAAAAGTAGTTCCATCTATTGTAAGCTAATGAATTTGAAAATAGTCGTAAGAAAGAGCAGGGGAACTGGATATGATGAGATCTCATGAATACAATGTGTGGCACATTGAATCATCACAATTATCTAGTCTTTGATATTGTTGGTAGTAAAAAGAGATTACCAGTAATATAGGTTGAAACAGGTGTTTTTGCTTCCATGTTGTTATCGTCCGTAGCAGGAGACAATTTTGTGACTATCAATCCCTGTCCATTTTCAAACGGAAAACTTTTGGTAAATACTAAATTCAAACTTAAACATGTACTATTATCGGTATAAATTTACATATTACAACCAAAATCAAAGTATTTTTCAACCTCAAAGGTCTAAACGAATTGAGATCATCTACATCTGCACAACATGTAAAATTAGAGGTACAATAGAACAAGATAATTCTTGGGTCACGGAATGTCAAAAATTAATAATTCAAGAACTAGTTAAATTTTTTAAAATCATCAGTGTTCCTTATAGATTAACACTTATTAGTGCATATATCAATAAAGAGGTATATCAACGTAATGATGTGAATATTACATTAGATTGCAGGAAAAAGTTTTATAATCAATTATTAACCGAATATTGTTGCAAAAAGCCTGAGGTGTCTTGAAATATACTCCCTCCGTCCCGTAAAGATAGACTCGCTTTCATTTTTCGTCTATCCCAAATTGCAAGCCACATTTCTCGTTAAGAATATATATATATTCAATTATATTATTGATATATGCACTAATAAGTGCTAATCTATATGGAAATGGAAGCAAGCCTATCTTTGTGGGAAAGAAGAAGTATTGACCTCTTTATTATTACTCCGTCCCATAAAGATAGACTTGCTTTCATTTTTCGTCTATCCCAAATTGCAAGCCACATTTCTCGTTAAGAATATATATATATTCAATTATATTATTGATATATGCACTAATAAGTGCTAATCTATATGGAAATGGAAGCAAGCCTATCTTTGTGGGACAGAAGAAGTATTGACCTCTATATTATTACACTGTCAACAATATTATTTTTTATAATCATTTTATGCCCGATTGTTGGTAAATAAAAAGTGATCACAAAATGGCATTCCCACAACATTATATGACAGAATGTATAACTTCTGAGTGATTATTCGTTTGAGATGAGCCCTTTATACTTTCTCTTTCACAGCCTCAAAGAATGGGGGGAAATGGCACTTACTAATATGCTGATATGCTCGATGAGTGCCACTAATTTTAACTCTCATAATTTCATTTGGCATCAAGATCAACATTTCAAAGACGACTGAATCCCATATAGTTCGTTTAAGCCCGTCTTGCGGGCTGATACACATTGAACACCCTACTCTTAGAACCTGGGTTTTAAAGGTGATTCTATTCTATCCAAGATCCTCCCTTTAGAAACCAGTTTTAAGAGCTGTTCTTGCAAAAGTTTCCTTCCCTTAACTCAATTGACAACCCACATTCAAAAATCATTTCTTAAACGACCATTCACTCAAAACTTCAATCAAAACAAATTATAATTCGAAACACAAAACTGAACTAAAAAATTTTAATAACAATAATAATTATTACTCCAACAATAACGAATACCTGTTTTTCTTTTCTCTTCAAGATTTTCACATGGCATTTTTTGATATAATGAAACAAATGGTACCGCGAGTGCCTGGAGTATAACTGGTCTCTGATTTCTGGGTTTGCAGTCAACCAATCTAAAACATCTTTGGACTTAATTACCTCGTCCGTCTCCAGTGATTCTAGCCAGGAGTAAACCGGCATCCATTGGTCCGTTCGCTGAAATCTATGATCATACATATTTTCCTGCAGACAGTAAAAGATTACTACAATAGTTTCTTGAAAGGGCAACGGATTCAGGAATTGAAATTGAAATATATAAACAATTGGGGAATAAAGGACGACTGGGAAAGTTGTAAATGATAGCGGCAGTCCGTTGGGTGGTTAGGTTAGAGGAAAAGGGAAAGCAAAAATTATCTGGGGAAATTTTGTATCGTTGTTTGCAGCTTTAGTCCTCCATTTCTGGTTAAATATTCAATTTAGTACATGAGTTTTAAAACTCTGAGTTTTCTTTTATTTTCTTATTATTATATTTTTGTCGACGGCATATTTCTTAGCTTTTGCTTGAGAGAGATTTTTTCAAATGAGGAAAAATTAGGGAAAATGTGATTAAAATGTATAAAAAGGTCACAAATTCTATAAAATATATAGTTGAAAATAAATTTTTTTTAATAATAATAATAATGTTAGAAAAGCTCTCACCAACAAACCCTTAGTGTTTCATAATTCTCATTTGTGTAAAAATAATGAAATATTTGTGGGCAAGCTTACCAATTTATAGTATTTGAAAATTGGCTCAGAGGGTGTTTGTGAGCCCTTTTTTTGTAAAAATGTATTTTGGAATAATAAATTGATGGGAAATATATGGTTCAAAAATAAGGAAAAGTTTTTTATTTACGTATAATATTATTTTAATGAAAAATGTGTGGTCGAAAAGAAAAGAGAGAAAAATGCATTTTGAAAAAAATTGGTACCAAACGGGCCTAAGTGAAAAACTTAAAGCCCCTTGTCAATGTTCTTTATTTGCCAAAAACAATTTTGAATAGTAAATTTTTAAAGAATACATAGTTAAAAAAATAGGAATTTTTTTTTTATTTACGGGTAGAAAATTTTATTGTCTAAATTTATGATTGAAACGAGAACATAAAAAATAAATAAATAAAAATAATAATAATAATAATAATTTAAAGTAAAGAATGTCAATCAAGGGCCAAAAATTCGACCCGTTCGTCCCTCGACTTAGCGTTTTAAAAATCTTAATTAAGTGACAACATTATTCGTAATTGAATCAATTTGCCTATGTTCTTTAGCAGGATTAATGATAACATTGGTGAAGTGGGTAAAATGTGTGAATCACAAAACATATGAAAGGCAATGAGGCAATGGTATTGTCCTTGTATAAATAACCTTTTTGGCTTCATTTATCAAATTCCTATTCTTAAATTCAGGGTTTTTTTAAGAATTAAAGATTTTCAATGACAAAAATTCAGACTTCGATTTCTCTACTAAAAAACATTCGAATTTTTGTGATCAAGTTTCAAGATGGGAAGGAAGATCAAAGGCATTCAAATTAGAGCAATAAAATGCATCGACTTGCTCAAAGCTTAAACACAATAATGTGTTGAGAATTAGAAACTTTATGTTTATACCATTGAGAGAAATGAAATAGCAGGAAAAAATAGACATACAAGAACATATAAAATTTATAGCGATTCACCACAATGTAAAACTATGTTCACATACACATCTACATTAATTAACTATGGTGCGTAGAAATTTACAAGTACTCTCTCTCTCTCTCTCTCTTTATGATAATATAAAAACTCTAATGACAATTGACAATCTCCTATTTATAAGAAAATTATGGTAAAATCGAAATTAAGAGTATGATTTTTTTAAACAATTCTTAGCCCCTATTCGACAACCATTATTTTAAAATTATTTATTCTATATACTCATTTTCAACCATACATTCACACAATAAAATATTATGTACGTAAATTTAAATTTTTTTTTATTACTTTTTAGTTACACATTCTCCAAAAATTCATTATACAAACAAATTTTTTGCCAAATAATGACCATCAAATAGTGGCTTATTAAAATTTTGGTCCGAGAATGAATCCTAGGAGGCAACCACCTTACCACGAAGGTAAATCCATATACGAACTCCACACAGAGACGATAAGTATGCTTCACAACTTAAAATTCTCCATGTCTCCTGCATGGAGACTAGTCCAACCATCAATACCTCCTCCTTTGTAGCGTCAAAAACTCATCAATCCACAGGGGGAAAAAAAGTCCAATTGAAGTTGCACGTAACTTTAGTTTTTCAATTAGAACAGTCCGTTAACGTGTCAAGCGGATTTAGACACCCTTGAATTTTCTCAAGTGTCAAGATTTTTCATACTCTAACTTTGATCTGATTAAGTGAATTATAACCTGTATATGTTTCATTCTTACATGATTAACAAATTTTTGCCAAAGTAAATAGTACTCTGACTATCACGATACATCATTTTTTGTAACCTAATTCCTCCTAAAAAGACTGCAATCATATAATCTATTTTGTAGTTTCTATTATAGCAACATACTCTGCCTTAGTAATAGAAAGAGAAAACATCTTCCGAAGCTTAGACACTCAACTAACTATTGTACCACTTAAAATAGTAGTGCTCTTCATGCCATTAATATCGTCAACCACGTTATTATCTACATAGTCATCTAATCTCAAGTCTGATTTTCTAAACACAAAGTTGGATCTAATGTATGTTTCAAATACCTGATAATATACTTTACTTCATCCTAATGTTATTTACTCGGATTGTTCGTATATTTTCTCACAAATCTCATGTGTTATATCTAGTCTTGTACACACATATATATAAGCAGGGGCAGAGCTAGGAATTAATACTACAAGGACAAAAAAAATTTAAATTTTAATGTACGAATAAAATTTATATGTAACAAGAAAAATTCCTAATATGACATGACCTATTATAGTTGTATCTGACGATGTTTTACAGTATAAAATTCATCTATAATGGAATCTAAATCTAAATTCATATTAAATTCTCATTCAACATTTAGTGGTAAAAAATCAGTAAGAAAACTATCATCCATTTTGTTACAAATTCTTGTCTTCACATGTTTCACTACTGAAAATGCTCGATCCACAGTCATCGTTGAAATAGGTAGTGTCGGTATTAAATAAATCAATTTAGTCAAAATGACGTAATTCTTTGCCTTCTACTTGCAACCAATTCCAGACATAAATAAAAAAGTGTAGGTACTTGAAATCGAGATTCGAAAATCACATCACTCTTAGAATAAGAAATTATGATACGATGAAGATATTGTACCGATATGAATAAGAAATACACATTTACTCTCTTGGAGTACTATCATTGAGAAAAATAAAGCAAAAAAAATATGCCTTATGTGTTGAAGTCGAATATTTCAACAAGAAAACTAATTGTACCAACGTTCCTGAAATTGGTGTTTCGACTCTCCACATTCTTTGCTCCGGTATTCCAAAAATTTTGGTTGATAAGGTCCAACATTTAGATAAGCTCGTCTAATCTGATCGCGTTCTTTAAATGGATGTTCACATATTTGCTTTCTTTTTACTAGGTCCGTTCAATAGAATCAAATGGTTCCAAATTAAGATTGAGAAGATGAAAGCCGTTCAACTTCAGGAGATGAAATTGGAAGAATAGGCAATGTAGGAATTGGAGTACCCTGAGATTTGTTACTCTTTGAAAAGAAAGAAAATAAGGTTCTTCTTCTCTTCGAAGAATGTCGATCTTCTTTCATATTGAATCTAAAAGCATGAAAATCAAAAAACTTCAATATCCCAAAAAGGCATAAACATAAATTGATAAAACCATAACCATAAACCATCACCACAAATTACACAATTGTACAGTATAGCTTAATAGCTCTATTACTAGTATCTTTATTTAATTAATAATTACCAATAGATAGCTTTCCAATTCCAACTTCCAAGATACTAGCCTGACAAGGGCGAATTTACTTGCACAATGAAATTATGAAAGGAAAGACAAGCAAAGCTAACATTATTGATTTCCTAGTAGGCAATAACTGTAACGTTGTAAGCTAATATTTTTCGTATCCCATGGTTTGCTTTGCACAATATTTCCTTAAATAATACACGTGATGCTTTGCACAATTACCAGAAAGTTAAAATCTTTACACCATTTTACTGCTTGCCATGAAATGTGATTTTTCATTCAAAAAGAACATTCCCAACTAGTTCGATTTCTTTGCTGCAAAACATGAAAATATTTACAATTTATAACATGTACAGTCGACAATTGGTGGTCGGCAGTCGACGGTCGATGGTAGTTGATCGGTGGTCGACGGCTCCAGGTGGGTGGAAAGATTTAGGGTTTAAAGATTTTGGGAATTTTTTCAATTTTGCTTTTCCAAATGATGTGAAGAATTGAAAATAGAAGAAATGGGTATTGATTAAAATTAAACAAGTTTGTTTTAAAAATTTGGCCTAAAATTAAATAAATAAATGGGCTAAATATTAAAACAAAAAATCATTTGAGGAATTGTGGCGGGCTAGCTCATTAAAATTAATTGTTGGAGGACTAATAGATTACAATTAAAACCTCTATTTTTCATTGTTAGTGTGTTTGGGCTTGGGCAACAATGGGCTACAGTCAAGTGCAGCCCATTACAAAATTTGCCCCATATATAGTTACGAATGGAAGAAGTATAAGACACCTTGACCATGTAGGCTCGCTCCTATTTTATAGAGGATAACAACTCATTGGACAGTCTAAAGTGACAAGCTAAATAAGTATTCACTAATTTTGCATTACTCATGACGTATTCTTCATGTGACTGTTTCAATACATCATTTTTCCATAGTAATTCTCATTCCAAATTCTTTTTTCTTTTTTTTCTTTTTTTTTTTTGGCAACACCGAAATCTTCATTGCAAACTCCTTGAATAATTCAAGAGCTTTTATTGAAAATTTGTAGAGATAAGAATGAAATAAATGAATATTGATAGTAAAATAAGTGCCCTTCACTTGTGGTGTAGCGGAATCTGTTTAGGAAAGGCTAATTTATGGTATGCTACTGATGTTTGGGAGTAATGACTCATGCGAACAATTTCACCTTTGACATTCCCACCACACAACCTTAAGTATGTATATAGATACTCTATTTTGGCATTTTTGTGTAAGAGAGAGAGAGAGAGAGAGTCAATCGATTTTGATTCATGAGTCAAGATTGCTAAAGGAAATATTATGAAATGACCAAACTATAGACTTCGATTACTTGGGATATGGACTGAGATGCAGTGAATGAAAAGGGACAGAATTCCAACGAAAAGTGTAAAAAATGCCCAACAATTTGCCAGCAGATCTAACCTC